ACTGTACTAGAAGATGTACTTAAAAATGTTATTTTTATGTTATGACAAAGACAAGTGAAGTAGAATACTAATGTAGCTAACCAACTGTTAGCACTAATACTGTTTGCACCAATTTAAAGAATACATTCTATCAGTGGAAACAATGCAAAGCTAATACCAATGGAACACTCATGCGCCAGGCGCCATTCTGAGCACTTTGCATATATTATCTCCTTCAGTCCTCCTCACAGCTAACGTGCTCAGCACTGTTATCATCCTATTTACAGATGAGGAGATGGAGATGGAAGAAGGGAAGTCACTGGCCCCAGGTGATTGTGGCAGGAATCTAGGATAGGATGGTTGCCGCATTTGCACTTAATTTAATTAACTCTTGAGTTCCATGTCTTTTTTCATGACTGTAGTCTAAGAGTAATTTAAATAGGAACCACTAGATGTCGCTACTTGGTGCTCCCTAAAAAAGCCGAGGAACACTGTGACTCCACCTTGAAGAAAACAATAAAACCCCGCATAACCACTGGTATTTACGGTCTTCCTGCTGGAAAATGCCAACGTGACCTGGTTGCTACAGCATCTCTATCTCCTTCGCTCCCACTCTCCCTCCAGCCCAGCTATCTGGGTGCTGTCGGACTTCTCATTCTGCTGGTAGATTTTGTAATTTCAGGAAAACAGAAGGGACTCTGTCACTTCATAAGTCAGACCCCTCCTACATTGACTGCTGGGCTTAACTGAAGGCAGGGGGCCAGCTTGGTGAGGATGTGTGTGTGAGTGTGAGTGTGAGACAGAGAGAGAGAAAGAGAGGGAGAGAGAGAGAGACAGAGAGACAGAGAGAGACAGAGAGAGAGACAGAGAGACAGAGAGAGAGAGACACACACAGAGAGAGAGAGAGAGAGAGAGAGAGGAGAGAGACCGAGAAAGAGACCGAGAGAGAGACAGAGAGAGACAGAGAGACAGAGAGAGTTAGTTTTCTTTTTTTCCAAGTTCGAATAACCTGGAACATGTTCTTGCAGACTGAACTGGTGCTTTCAACTAAGACCTTTTCCAGCACGGTGCTTGCACAGAGTAGAAGTGCAACAAACACTTCTGCTTTTAAATTGCACAGAAAGTCAGGACTGGGGCTTGTGCACAGTGTGCCGGTGAACGAGAGGAGGATCTAGGGAGGGTTCTGGGCCTCTCAGGGGCAGTGGGTAATGCAGGAGAGGAGGAGAATATGCCAGGGACTCATCAGAGGGAAATAAAGGGCTAGGGCAAGGTCCTCGAATGACGCTGATTCAGGATATAACTACAGAATGTACATGTTCTGCTTCAAATGTGTACGAAGATGTTTCAAAAATGAGCAAATCAAACATAAGATTAATTTTTTTTTCTTTCTTGATTCCAGCATCCTCCAATTAATTTTGAAATCTTCCTTCTCTATTGTAAACTTCTCAAGAGTTCTGAAACACATCTAAACATAGTCAATAGAATGACATTTTTTATTATGGTTCACTTGAGGCAGAAAAATGAAGTGAGATTCTCTAAAACATGGTGCTCATACAGAAGTAGGGCGGAGAAGAGGGAAAAACTGCTGAGAAAAAAGTGAAGTTTTTACTGCAGTGTATCACCTTTCTTTTGGAGAGGAGGTCAGCATATAATAAACACATCAGGAGCTATTTTGTAAAATGGGGCTAAGTTATGAGAATGGCTGCAGAGACTTTTTTAAAAAAATCTGGACAGTAAAGCAAATGGTACAGGTGAATGTCTTTAAATTATAGGAAGGAAATGTCAGTATCAGGCAGAACTTCATGTTTTATGTGGGCCCTGGAGATTGAAATTCATTTACACAGAAGTGGAATGCATACTTTGTGTTATGTTCACTGATAAGATGTGTTTTAAAAATTTGGAATATAATAATTGGTGCTTTCAAGAAACTTTCCACTCATTAATTTAAATGGAGACTTTCTGCGACACAAAATACAAACACTAATTTATTTCAAATAGGAGTGCTATTGACATTAACCTCTTTACTGTCCATAACTAAACATGCTTCTTCCGTTTGAGTCGTGTGTCATCACCAGCACCACGTAGAATGGCAGCAAGCTCATTTTGATGCTGCTATAATTTATTTGATAAGAATAATAATAGCCATAGCACACATTTGAATCCTACTTTATAGTATGTGATTACATTTAATTTTCACAGCAGCCCTGTGTGGTGTAAGTTATACATTGTTAATTATATTTGATAGATGACAGATAGATGAACAAACCAAGGCTCAGAGAGGTTAACTTGCCCAAGGCCACAACTAGTTAGTTGCATAAGTTGCATATTTGATCGTGGAAGAATTCTTATTAAAATTAATTAGATCTCATTAATAAACATTTTGCTCTAGGGAAGTATCTGCAAAATCTTCCACTGCAGAAATTTACAGTATAGTCATTGTATAACCTTGGTAGCATTCCTTGTATGTATGTGTAAAGAAAAAGCCAAGCAGACATCTTTGATTTCTATTAGCTCCATATTATTTAGTATTTTAAAAAAATCATCTTCCTGAAAAAAATCATATTCCTAATTTGCTGAATAAAATAGTGCCATCATGGTTGTTTCGTTTTGATTTTTGATTTTTTTAAGTAAGAGATAGAGGGGTGAGGGAGGAACCCCCTTCCCCCCAAAAACCTTCACTGTAAAAACATTGCTACATTGCAAATCAAGCAGTTGCGAGACTCTGAAAGTTTTGTTTAAAAAGATTCTTGGTACTTGCAGATAGTGAAGGGGCAGACACGTCTGTGATCATGTCTGCAGCAAGCAAGGGAAGGAAGACAGCCACAGCCCTCTTGCAGTGGCGCATGGTTCGTGAAGGCTTTGGTGTGCCACAGACCGCTCCTTGGAGAGCTGGTCATTGTCAGCATCTTTGCCTGGCAGAGTGGCAGAAGACAATTTTTGAAACTACCTCTCACAAATCTCCCTTGTATCTTTTACATTGCCATCTCACTTGCTTTGAAAAGCTCTCACTGACCCTTTTGACTCACATTCTCCTCAGCAGCCCATCAGAATCACATTTCCCACATTCCTTCCCTGAAATCTTGGCTCGATGTCAACTTCATCCTCCCAAAATGTTTGTACTGGGTACAGCTCATTTTTCTTTTTTTTTAACCGAATGGACATTGCCTTTTCTGATGATAGTTTTGTCAGGAACATATATGTTTCATCTCCCCTAGTTGGGTGTAAACTTTAGGAGGGCAGGAGCTGGGTCTCATGTCCCATTCTGGCTACCCACTTTCCTACCTCCCCTCGGCACCCAGCCCTGGGCCAGGCCCAGTGTGCTGAGAAGCAGTGGCTGTGGATTAAGAACCTGTACTCTGGGCCCGATTTCCTGGGTTTTCATCTTGGCTGCTAGTTACCAACCATGACCTTTAGCATCCTGCCCTCTTAATCTGTAAAATGGAAATCATAGCAGTACCTATCTCATAGGTACTGCTGGATTATTGGTGTTGAAAAGATTTAGTGAGATACGGTACCTGATAGAAGCCTTAGCTATTGTTATTCTTCAGTAACTATCTGTAGGTGAGAGGCTGGAGGCCTGTGAAGAGGCCTCTGGGACAGTGAGAGTGGAAGAGCTGGCTCAGGGCCCCATGTACCTTTCTCCATACTCTGCCTGGAGGCCACAGGCACCAGTCCCTACAGCAGCTTAGGCCCCTTTACCAGCACATGTGCTCACTAGGAGCGGAGGGTAGATGCAGACTGCCGTTCTGAAGTGGAGTGGACAGGATTTGGTGCTTGTCGGGTGGATGTAGAGGAAGTACATGTGGAGTTATGGATTTCTTCCAGCTTGGACAACGAGGTCCACAGTGACACACTGTTCACTGAGAAAGGGATCCAAGAGTGGAACTGGCTAGAGGGGCAAGTAATGAGTTCAGTTACAGACATGTCGAGTTTGTAGTGTCTGGGATGCATCCAGATGGAGCCACCCAGTAGTAATGACAACAGATAACTTCACTGAAAGAATATCAAGTCCTGTCACCATTCCAAGCCCTTCACTGGTTCTAATCCACTTAGTCTCACAACCACCCAGTGAAGAAGATTGATGGGAAAACCAGGTGCAGAGTGGTTAAGTCATTTGTGTAAGGCCACACTGCTAATAAGGGATGGTGCACAGATTGGGAGCAGGCGGTCCGGTCTCGGAGCGCCCATGTTTAGCCCCACTCTGTGCAGACTCTGTTACTGCGGTTTTAGAGGGAGGTGGGTCTGGCCATGTGGATGTGGTGGAGCCACGGTAATGATGCTCTTGCTCTAAGAGAGACTGCAGAGTGAGGTGGGTGTTGGATGAAAGAAACTCATTTGCTGGTGTAAGTGAACATCATCATGGAAGATATAGGTTCAACATAAGGTATGACTAGGAGCAAAGGTCAAGTAAGTAGATAAAACTTTCTATGGATCGAATTTTTGTGTCCCCATTCCCCAAGTCTATATATTGAAGTCTTAATCCCCAATGCGAAAGTATTTGAAGGTGTAGCCTTTGGGAAGTAATTAGGCCATGAAGATGGAGCCCTTATGATGGGATTAGTCCCTTTATTAGTAGAGACTGGAGAGAGATTTCTCTCAGCCGTGTGAGGATACAGCAGGAAGGTGGCTGTGTGTGTAAGCCAGGAAGAAGGTCGTAACCAGAACCGGACCATGCTGGCACCGTGATTCTGACTTTCGGCCTTCAGAACTGTGAGAAATAAATGCTATGTTTTAAGCCACCGGGTTTGTGATATTTTGTCATAGCAGCCCAAGCTGACTAATACAATACTCTTAAAATCTCTAAGAAAAGGTTATGGGCTTGATTTGACACAACACTTATGTCGCCCATTTCAGTCAACAAGATTTGTTTAAATTGCTTTCAAATTCCATAAATTAACATTCTTGTGAGATGAGTAGGTAGTGTTACTATTGAGAGTACAAGGAAGAAATGACTATGGGAATAGAAAGCTAGTTGGATGCTCCCCGCCAAGCATTTATTTCACGAAGCACCACTGAAAGAGGGTTTAGGTTGCAAAGTACTAGTTATGTCCTGGAGTTGGGTTAATAATTTTCAATTAACTTTTAGGTAGCATGGCCTGGTACCTAAACAAAATGAAGTGGCTGCTAATGATTTATTTTGTACACTACCCGCGGCCTTAATTATACCAAGAGGTTTAATGCTCTCAGCTCTGGTTTAATGTTCCCAGCAGAATCACAACTGCCTCAGGAGCCTTGGAAAACTGCACACGTAGGTCCTACCCCTGCGGATTTTGGTTCAGTAAATTAGGATGGGGGTAGAGGAGCAGACCAGGGCTTTTTCTTTTTTTTTAATAAATAGGTATGCTTTTTGTCAAGATGATGGAATGACATAGTATTTATTTCCTTTTTATACCACAATCTCATTCAAATGATTTCCTCGAAAGATATAAGACCAAAAAAAAAAAAAATCCATAGCTGAGCTGGCAAACAGGAAAGGATACAATCACTTGATAAAAAATTTTGAGCCTTTTCTGGAAGATACCAGTAGATGAGATCGGATTTAAAGAGAGTAGAAAACGCAAAAGGATCTGGCCTGACTTGCTTGAAGTGAATGCTGTTCTTCGTGCTGGAGCTGAGAAGAAACGCCATGGCGCCATCTAATGGATATCGGGGGTAAGCCTCGGAGTGGTTGATTATCAGAGTAATTAATTAAAAGATAGCCTCCCTGTTCCCACCTGCTTCCTTGTGCTGAGCAGCTGGTGGCAGCGTTTGTCACCACACGAAAGCTGCAAGAACAGTTCTTTAAATAAAAGTCGGGCTCTCTTGTGGTGAGAGTTCCCAGCATTGGCACTGAGGTGAGAGAGAAAAGCAGAAGGTAATTTTGGACTTTGAAGTGAGTGAGACTAAACACACTTGTCCTACTTTGTTGATGGTGGTGGTGGTGGTGGGTTGGTCACTTGCTTATGACCCTGCACACACACACACACACACACACACACACACACACATGACTGCCAGTCGGCCTGTCTGCCCACTTATGTGCTGATTCTCACAGATTCAACTAGACAGTGCTGAATTCAGGGAAGAGGCCACCTGTACAAATAGACCTTCTGGAGTATGTGTTGAATAAAACAACATCCTGATCCAGATTTGGCATGAGTAGCCATTTATTAGCCAAATTCATTGTTGATTCGCCTAAATGGATCACTCAGTTCTCTCTTTGCCTATTTGTAGAGGAGAGGTCAAACAGCAAGGATAACGAGCACGGTTGATATCGGTACGGTCCCCAATCATTTTCACATCTGCGATCTGAGCCTTATAATAACTCTGTGGGGTATTAGTACTTTTATTTCCACTTTACCAATAAGGCAGCTGAAGGTCAGAGAAATTAAAGGACTTATTCAAGTTTATACAGGTAGTATGTGGCAGAGTTAGGATACAAAACTAGTTTTGGGGACGTCAGATGATGTTCCCTTTCCACTTACCACATAGTTTCTAACTTAATTTCAACTACTTGTTAAACATTTGTTTCCAGAAGATAGAACTGACTTGGAGATCTTTGGGTGGCTTTTGTCATACGTGCGAACGTAATAGACTAATAGAGTTGCAAAATATTAAGACATATTCTCAGATGATGTCTGCTATGTAAGTGAGATGGTAGTAGTGAAAAAGATGGCTTAATTGATTAAAAAGGGGTTAATTTAGGGATTTGATTGTAGGTGGATAGAGTGTCTATTAGTTTTCTGAAGCTGCCATAACAAATTACCACAAATTGGTGCCATAAATCGATAGATATTTATTTTCCCATAGTTCTGAAGGACAGAAGTTCAAAATCAAGGAGTCAGCAGGGTCATCTCCCTCTGAAGACTCTAGGGGAGGTACCTTTCCTTGCTGATTCCTGATTCTGGGGGCGGTTGTCATTCTTTGACTTCTTGGCTTGGGGCTATCTCGCTCCAATTTCTGCCTCCCTCTTCATGTCACCTTCTCCTCAGTGTCTTTGTGTCTTCCCCTCTTCTCTCTCTTCTAAGGGTACTTGTCATTGGATTTGGGACCTACCTGGATAATCTAGGGTGATCTTATCTCAGCATTCATAACTTAATTGCATCAGCAAAGACCCCTTTTCCGAGTAAGGCCACACCTAGAGGGTCCAGGGATCTGGATATGGACATATCTTTTTTGCAGGGTACAGCATTCACCCCACCACAGAGTGTAAGTATTTTACTAATTTATTTTTTTTCACAGTGAAATAAAAAACCCTCGGCCCTTATACCCTGTGATGTGTATTTATACAACCATCAGCACACCTCATCTCTAGGGACTAGATCTGTGTTATTTTTCCTTGAACACCAACAGGTAAGAGCTGTTAGTTGGAAAACCAGAGCTTTTCTTGAGCCTTTCCTGTGCCTGTGTGACGACATTTCCTACGACTTAGTCTCTCCCTCCTTTTCTTTAGCTTCCTAAGCAAGATATTTGGATTTTCAGTTTTGGAAACTGCTATTCAGAAGAGAGGCAATCAAGCAAAAGAAAATCCGAAAACTGGTCTGTGGTTTCTGTATTCTTTAGCAGTGGAAAGGAGTGGCAGGTTTACTCAGCTCCAGATGGGAAAGAAAGATAAAACTCTTAGGAAGGGAGTGGGTACTGGGCTATTTATTTGAGTCACTCACATTCTTCAGTTTGCAGATGGAAAACACAGAAAGCCAGAAGGCTTATATAAGGTCACTTGGCAAGTTGTAGGCTGACCCAGCATTAATGGTTGGAGTTTCTGAGTTCTCTGCTCCAATCCCCTGAATTATAGTGCATCTCAAGGGTTCTTACTCCATTAATCTTTGGTTGTCCAGGAAATACACGAGGGTCTTGACACTCACAGTCAAATGAACACAAAGGGGAAAGTTAAGCCTTGAATTGGTTGTGTTTGAGCCTCATTCAGTAAATGTATAGAAAACGAATGCTGTGATTATATTGTGCAGGCTCTCTAAGCTGGCTAGTGGGATGGTGTCAGCAAGCAAATGGATTTTTAAAAAATTCTATCCTAATGTCTACCATTGGCAATGCCTTTCTTGAATCCAACTAAATTGTCTGTAAGATTACCATGGCTGGAGTCATTGTTTATATGGTGATATGAGAAAAACAACAACAAAACAGAAGACAGCCTGTCTTCTTAATAAGGACTTGCTCCAGCTATTTATCTAAGAGCAGACTTTTCCCTTTGCAGACTTTGAACTGCTTTGAACTTTTTTGCAAGGTCAGCCCTCCAAGACTTCAGTAGAATCAAAGGTATTTGGGAAGCTGTAGTAAATGTTTAAGTAAACTGGGCCAAAGAAAACTTTGCTTCATCTCAGGAGCAATTGATAGCTCTAACAGGTACTGGTAGGTTGTGTTACAACATAAGGCCTGGGTGCCAGGCATTATCGTCAGGTTCCCAGGACTTCTAAATGACAAAACAGACTTTCATGAAGCATGTCTGTTTGTGGTGTTACGTTTTGAATCGTTTTATCTATAAATTTAGTGCCTTACTTTTTTGCTAATGCTTATCAAATTTAATGTACTAAAGCTCTCTTTTGTGGTGGTCACATAATTTAACAACCCATAAATCTTACACTCAAAAAGTTTACATATGATATCTTTTTCATTTGACCTTGTAACTGCGTTGGCCTTGTGGTTCATCGCCACTGCCTGGGGGAATTTTCAAGGTACATTTTTTTTACTTTTGTCATCTAAAGTTACTTAAAAACACTCTTGGTGTGTATCTAAGGGGATAGTCATGTTGGTAGTTATGTTGGCATTTAAGCTTGCCAACTCAGTGGGCCAGTAATAACTTGGAGTATGTCTTGTTCAAAATAAACTTCTGAAAGCTTAAAAACCAAAGTTTCTACAAATTTAGCAAATTCCCGATTTGATCTGCATATGGGCCTCAAGTGTGTTTTCTAATTTTGCTTAGACACAAAGTCACTGTAAGAATCTGCAAGGCTAGTAGAAATCAGTGGACTAAAATGAACCTGGCCTCAGTGATGGTATCTGCTAGATGTAGGCTAGGCAGGCAGTAATGTTTGCTTGAGGAACCCAAGAGACATGCTACAGAAAAGAGACCCTTTTCCAGATTGCAGGTAGAAAAATTTAAACCTTTTTGGCACATTAGACTGATTTTCTTGAAATGCGTTCCTTTGGGTTAATTCATTTCACCTTTAAAAGTGGCCCATGCCACTTTGTTCAGAGAAGTAGCCTCTGGAAGTACCCTACTTTTCTGACTCCTTACCTGGCACCTCATGTAACTTGTTCGCCTCCCCCGGCCTACAGATTTCTCACTGCTGTGTTGTTTCATCCTAGCTTTGTCACTTTTGCCCTATGCTCCTTCTAGTCTAACTCAACTTTCATTGGCTCCCATGAATATCATCTCTCCTGGGCCCCAGGTATTTAGTTCCTGTCCCTGGGCCTGGGCTTCCTAGGTCAAACAAAAATAGTATCTACAAATTACTTTGTCTCAAGGAGTGTTTCTAGATATAGTTAGTGATAAAAAATGTGTTAAGAAAACATGGTTCAAATCTCTGACCCTGACCTTACTCAAGATGTTTTCTTGTCCTTTCTTTCCACACCTACCAAAAAAAAAAAAAAAAAAAAGGCACCAGAGTCGACTCGTGAGATACACTCAATTTCAGCCTTGTCAGTGGGTGTGAGGAAAACAATAATACTGAATTTGGAAGCCTATAAAAGTGTCATTTTGACAGTACTGAGAACTGAAGTTTTCTGTTTGTAGTACTTACAAAACCATTTGCAATTTAGGAAGTAGAATATTTCCAAAGCTTCTTTAGTGACATGGCTTGACCTTGATTTTATAGGAGTAAAGGTCAGTTAAAAGATGTGAAATGTTCAGCTTGCATTGACTAAGTGCTCACAGGATCACCTCTTTCTTGGGGTGACAGGATGGGTCCCAGTTCGAATAAAGGAAGAAATGGTGCTAAGAGTTACATGTTTTGATTGACACAGTGGCTAGGGCCTGGTTGGAGCCTTCCCAGACACTTAAATTTGCTCCCCAAGGGGTTAGTTTGATTTCA